TCTTGTGCCAGAAAATGAGAAATTTCTCAAAGAATGATGGTGATATGTCAGAGGGGCAAAGAACTATCTTGAAGGGACCCCGTCTGGGATGATCTGAGCATCACAATAAATAATATATTAAAGCATTATAACCCATTGAGTAAAATTGGAAACCATGACCCAAATTTAATATACATTTTAAAATGAATAAGCTTAAAGTTTTGTGGTATATTTAAATGAGGTACTTCAATATCATAAAAAATCTTCCCATAAAATATCTATTAATTATAAAGGGGAAAAGAGTAAATCTACAGCTGAGAAGCCTAGCAGACTTAGCTTAATCAAATGACCAAAATGGACAACATCAATATGGAACAAATTGAAATTATGTGCCACCTGGTAGAATGCAAAGAACATAATATCACTTCTATAGTTTTTCTGCCAAGATGCATAAATTAAATCTGGTCAAGAGGAAACATCAGATAAGCTCCAATTAAGGGACATTCCACAAAATAACTGACCTATAATCTGTAAAAGTGTCATGGTCCTGAAAGTCAAGGAAAATTTGAGGAACTATTTTGGATTGCAGGAGACTAAAGATACAGGACAAATAAATGCAACATGTGGTTCTGAATGGGGTCTATTAGCTATATATGACTTTATTAGGACAATTTACAAAACTTGAATGGAATCTAAGGAGTAGACGTTACTGCACCAAGACTAATTGCCTGCTTTTGATGGTTGCATTGAGGTTGTGCAGCAGAATGTTCTTGTTTATAAAAGAACTAAAATATTCTAAAATGATGGGGCATTATGTTAGCAATCTATCTCAAATAGTGCAGGGAAAAAAAAGTTTTGACCCATATTTTCAACTTTTCTATAAATTTGACTTTATTTCAAAAAAAATTTTAAGTGGAGAAAGTCAACCACAATAAAATAGGTAGTGTGTGATTTCACTTATATAAAGTTCAAAGATAAAAATATATTGTTTAGGTATATGTAACTGGGTGGCAAAACTAAAATGAAAAGGTAATGAACCCATAAAAGTTACTTCAATGGTTACCTCCAATGGTATGGAAGAGTGTTATGACTGGAAAGGGAAATACTAGGAGAGTTAAGAGTCAGAATAGAACGCGATGACAAAAGCAAAGTTAGAGATATATGATGCGAGAAAGAGTCAACCAGCCATTGCTGGCTTTGAAGATGAAAGGACGCTTATAGAAACTAGCAAAGACAAGATAATGGATTCTCCCCTAGAGTCTCCAGAAAGCAACACAGCCCTGCTGACTTTGATTTTAACACAATGAGACCATTTCAGACTTCTGACCTCCAGACGTGTAAAATAATAAATTTGTGTTGTTTTAAGCCCTAAGTTTGTAGGAACTTGTTTGCAACAATAGGAAACTGAAATAGTGGGGAAGTGTAAAATTGGGGGGAAAATACCAAAACAGGTAGCAATATTGGGCCAAGTAGGGCAGACCAAATAGGGCTCCACAGTGGTGAACTCTGGGCCTCTATAGGGCAGTAGGAAAATTCTGAGCACGGGAAGATAAAAATAACAGATCCGGGAAGGGGAAAAGGGTCCTGAGAGAAAACAGTCTATGACAAACTTGACTTAGTTCATTGTGTTCCTAAACACAAACCCTGGACTTGGATCCCCGGAGAAAGAAAGGAGAGAGAGCAGGTTTTCTTGGCAGAAAGATTCCCAAGACTTGCTGAATAGCCCAAGGGTATCAATCCCTTTATTGTTCCCATCAGGTCCTCTCATTTTCCTAGCTTGAGCCTGGCCAGCATCCTACCTGAATTAACGTGAGGGGCAGCCTTCCCAACCAGCGCATGAGCTGCAAACCTGGGACATTTTTGAGGTTTGACTCCAAGCTATTCCCGCAATCCTTGAATAATCTCCATCCCTATTCAAACCAATGCAAGTTTTATTTGTGTAAAAACTCTTAGCCAGAGTCCTTTATTGCTCTCAGTTATGTGATTGATGACCTTAAACCACCCTAGCAGTAGACTAAGGCATCAAAAACAGAAAAATCTGCTTACACAGTCTTTGGATTTGAAAACCAAAAGGAAACATTAATATCTTAAAGCTGAAAGCAGTTACTGGATAAAACTCCTAAGGAACCTTGAACAATCTATTGAACCAAAACAACATCGTGTCCCACAAATGCTTTCAATTCATGTTGTGAAATAAAACAGACATCATGTTTTTACCCTTAGAACATAAAACATAGTATTGAGCTTCCAGTGCTCTGAAATAGATATACAGTTTCAAAAACTAGGATGAATGTCTCTAGTTCTGTTGAAAAATAATTATGGCTTCATGTTTATTTTTTTCAGGTTGAACCTATTGCCAGATAATTATTTCAAAATGAATCTCTTTCCCAATCCTCTGGAGAAGAATGCTTGGTATGTTTTGATTGGTCGGTGTGCCATCAGGCATTTTATGAGCTCTTTGCTTAATCTGAGGTTAATGTATTCTTTTCAGGCAAAGGAGAGAGACATGCCCAGAGGTGGCAGCAGTAGCACCTGGATCGCTCAACACATATTCACATGGTTTAATATGCCAAAGAAAGGAAGGCAACTCTGTCCTCTTTTATTTAAAATCATATTCTTCCTAAAGCCTTCCGTGACTGACTAGCTTCAATAGCACCATGTACTTCTCCATCATAACTCTCAATGCACACATTCAATGTCTGAATGAGTAATAACCTACTCAATGTCTGCTTTCCCTATTACATTGTAAGCTACCTGAGGGTAAGGCCCATGATAGTCTTTTTTTATGTATATAAATTTATTTATTTATTTATTTTTGGATGCGTTGCTCTTCGTTGCTGCTCGCGGGCTTTCTCTCTAGTTGCAGCGAGCGGGGGCTACTCTTCGTTGCGGTGCGCGGGCTTCTCATTGCAGTGGCTTCTCTTTGTTGCTAAGCACAGGCTCTAGGCACATGGGCTTCAGTAGTTGTGGCAGGCGGGCTCTAGAGCACAGGCTCAGTAGTTGTGGCCCGCGGGCTTAGTTGCTCCACGGCATGTAGGACCTTCCCGGACCAGGGCTCGAACCCGTGTCCCCTGCATTAGCAGGCAGATTCTTAACCACTACGCCACCAGGGAAGTCCCCCATGTTATTCTCTGTCCTACTCCTAGTACCTAATACTGTGCTTGGTACATGGTGAATTCTATTTAAATATATTTTGAGTTAATGAATGAGTGAACAGGCAATTGCTTCTTTCTCCAAGGGCAGACAAGTTTAATCTCAAGACAGCTAGATGCTTTTGAAATAGCTCTTTCTAGACAAGTACAAATGACATGGAAATTTTCTAAATATACTAGTCATTGAGGAAGTATTTTTTTGTTCTGTCACACTATAAAAACTCTTATCTGACAATCTCTTAGGAATGTTGAGTATATATTGAGTATGTATTTAGTATTTTTTCTAGTCTAACTTTTTGTCATGCTTTTATCTTATCGAATCATATACTTATATGGTTTTTTTCCTTTATTTTTGGCTGTGTTGGGTCTTCTTTGCTGCGCGCGGGCTTTCTCTAGTTGCAGCGAGTGGAGGCTACTCTTTGTTGTGGTGCACGGGCTTCTCACTGCGGTGGCTTCTCTTGCTGCAGAGCACGGGCTCTAGGTGCGCGGGCTCAATAGTTGTGGCCTCCGGGCTCTAGAGCACAGGCTCAGTAGTTGTGGCCCGCAGGCTTAGTTGCTCCGTGGCATAGGGGAGCTTCCCAGACCAGGGCTCGAACCCTGCACCGGCAGGCAGATTCTTAACCACTGCACCACCAGGAAAGTCCAGATACTGTTTGATTTTAATAAAGAAATAGTCTTAATGAAGAAACTCTCAGGCATTAGACATGAGATACCAGAGAAATGGCTAAACTTGACCTTGAAGTTCTGTTCTCTCCCTTTTAGGTTTCTTCTGATCAAATAACCATCAAAAAGTAGCCACATTTCCAAGGGGATGGTTTATTGGTTTATGATTATCAGGTTTCAAGAAATGGGGCTCCCAGGGAAAAGTATGGGCATATGTGATGTCAACACAGGAGGGGAAGAGGTGGGTCTAGGCAGAATTATTTCTCTGCTCAAAGCCGTGCTCATCTTGTTCCACATTTCAACCCTTTCCCTCATCCCTTCCTGTTACGTGGATTATATTAAAAATTACTGAGCAAGTGGCACCAAAACCATTAATGTATAAGAGTTTACAACTTTGCTCCTCTGTGACTGTGTGCTTGTCTCCAGGCCTTCTGTGAAGCTAATCAGAACAATGGATAGAAAGATCTAGAATACTACTCAGCCATAAAAAAGAATGAAATAATGCCATTAGCAGCAATATGGATGGATCTAGAGATTATCATGCTAAGCGAGTACGTCAGAAAGAGAAAGACAAATACCAAATGATATCACTTGTGTGTGGAATCTAAAATACAACACATATGAACATACCTATGAAACAGAAACAGACTCACAGATATAGAGAACAGACTTGTGGTGGCCAAAGGGGAGGCAGGAAGGGGAGGGAAGGACTGGGAGTTTGGGATTAGCAGATGCAAACTATTATATAGAGGATGGATAAACAACAAGGTCCTACTGTATAGCAGAGGGAACTGTATTCAACAAACTGTGACAAACCATAATGGAAAAGAATATGAAAAAGGATATATATATGTATAACTGAATCACTTTGCTGTACAGCAGAAATTAACACATTGTAAATCAACTATACTTCAATAAAATTTTTAAAAAGAAAGATCTGAATATTAGAAGACAAACTGAGGATGCATATAATTTTAACCTTAGAAGTGGAGGGGGGAGTGGAAACTTACTTTGTTGGGGGAGAAAAAAGAGGGGAAAGACAAGAACTCTGAGTGCATGCAGGGATGAGAAAGATTTGATGAATTGAGAAAGTCTTTGGAAAGAACTTTAGAGTGGGTGGGAAATAGAACAAGAGATGAAGAAATAATTTTAAGGATTTCTACTCTTTTGACATTCTTTGAGAGTCTCAGTAAATGTATGAATTACCTTCTGATTTGTCTCAGTTGTCAAACCTGTGTTTAGTTGAATGTGACATGTCATACAGACTGGACCACATGGGGCCCCATGTTTAAATGGGCCATTTATCCCTTTCTTCTTTCCTTTATGCCTATAGAAGGAAACTGATATAAGTGAAACTCAACTAATCAGAATTTTCTTAGCTAATTTAACCATTATTTTCCCAGAAAACTCTTAGGGGAAAACGAATAAATGAAAGAGACTTATCTCATACAAGAAATTTTCTTAGAACACACATACACACAACTGTGACAGGATATATACATTCCAGTCTTTAATGCTTTCTACATCTACAGCTCTAATCTATAAACATGAACACTCAACTAAAGTTAAAAATGATGAGCCTGTGCTACTTTCAAAATCTCACTTTTTGTACCTACTAAATAAAGAAAAATAACCAAAAGAGGTTTTGGCATAAGACTCAGCCCTTTATAGCCCTGGGCACTGTGACTAAGGGCAGTTTGCTGCACACCTGCTTAGCCACCTTAAAGACACTGCATGCAGTTCAGAAAAAGATCAGTCACTTGTGGCCACATGTGTGTAAAAGGAAACCTCACCTTGATGCACCAATCATTTTTACTGTTTCTTTTCTTTAAAAGACAGGACTTTATGAGCACCATCTGAAAACAGCACACTGGCATCTCTCTGTACCCAGAGGAAACTCTAATAAAACATCGGAGGGCAAAGCAACTATACTCTTTTTTCACACTGGAAACTTTTTCCCAAAATGACCCATTTCTACTAGTTTTGTTCATACTTCCTGAACCAGGACAAAGAGGCAGGGCCTCACACCCACACACCATTTACAGGCATTACTGTGGCCAGGTTTTTGTTTTTTTGTTTTTTTTCTGCCTCCTTTCATTTCTGTTGAGAAGAAAGCCCAAATTCCAACTTCTATTGATGGCTTTCCTCCCAGGCCACACATTTGGCCAAGCCCTGAGTCCCAAGACCTCCCCAAAACATAGAGATGCCTGGGAATCTGAGACAGGTACCATGGGTTATTTTAGCAGTCGGGCCTTTTGTTTTCATTTGCCACTGTTACTTAATTCTTTAGACATGAATTTCAGGTCCCTAGCTTGGTCTTTTTCCCACTGACGTATTTACCCCAGTTCTCTCCTCTTCTCGGGCCTTGGCTCTTGACATCTCTGCGAGAATGGACAGCAACACGTGTTGTGATTCTGTCTCCCCCTCAGTGCCAGGCTTACTGATGTGGTGAGTGGAGCTCTGGGAAGTGGAGCCACGGAGGCTGAGTCATCAGTCATCATCTCCTGTCGCCCTGAGTCTGACCGAAATGACAGAGGCTCCTCTCACCAAAGTGTCACTGGGAGACCGCAGCAGAAAGGAGGTGGGGGACTTCTCCCGTTTGGTCTAACCACTTTAAGAAAAGACACTTTTTTGGCAGAACAGCCGTGGAGATGTTAGGAGAGAAATCTCAATGCAGCTTCCATCCCCCTTTGTCCTTCGGGCCTCTGCTGGAATGTGATCCTTTCTAAACGGGTAAAGCACTTTGGAAAGCTGCTGAAGCTGAACATACACATACTCTGTGGCCCAGCATTTCCACTGAATGAGTATGTATATTGCATATACAGATATCCCCCATTTTAGAAAGTTTGTTTTACACCCCTTCACTTTAATGAAAGAGCTACATTAGTACCTGTTTTTGCTAACTGAAAGAAATCTGAAGAGGATTATTGCTTTTGAAAAAAAAAAAGGTGAAAAGTGAAAACAGTGTTCAGTGTTTGTTTTACAGGGAGCCATTCTAGAGGCAGTGCTCACCTGAGTAATGAGAGTGGCCCCGCCAAGCTCCTTCCCTGGGAGCTACACTCAGCATCTCAGCATCAAGCGGCCATAGCTTTGAACTGTGTCTGTGAGCATCTGTGCTTTAGTTCCATTTATCCTGTGCATCCATTAGCAAGATGTGTCCTTAGGTAATTGTTTCTTCACTTCGCCATTTTGGCTTACAAAAGGTTTCATAAGAATGCTCTGCTTTCAGATAACAGGGGAAACCTGTATATAGGTTCATATTACATATTCACATTATATACCATATATTCAACATATATTACGTATGCATATAAATAATATAAATCTATTCATGGGTTCACCAAAAGACATGTTCAAGAATGTTCATAGCAGCACCATTTATAAGAGCTAAAAACAGAAACTACCTAAGTACCATCGACAGTATAAAGGATAAATAAATTGTGGTATATTCATACAACAGAATGAGACTCTTCACACATAGCAATGAGAATATTCATATATTGCAACAAGAATAAAAAAACTATAACTATACACAACAATATGGATGAATGCCACAAACATAATACTGAGCAAAAGAAAGCAGACAGAAAAAGAATAAATATTGCATGGTTTCATTTATATAAAGTTAAATACTAGGTGAAATTAATCTGTATTCTTAGAAGTTAGGATAGAGCTTATCACTGGGGTTAGGACTGGAAGGGAGCATGGGGGGTCTTCTGTGGTGCCAGTTACTAGGTTTCTTATCTAGGTGCTGCTTACCCTGATGTGTTCAACTTGGGAGGAGTTACTCACTTTTCTCTTTGTATGTCATACTTCAATTAAAAGCTTTTTAAAAAGTCATCTTCTCACACATGCTACAACATGGATGAACATTGAAAACATTATACTAAGTGAAATAAGCCAGATACAGAAGAACAAATATTGTGTTATTTGTCACTTATATGAGTTACCTAGAACAGATTTGGAGGGCATGGCTAGGGAGCACCTGTTCCACAGTCTTAAAGCCCTACACAGTATAGCATCCAATCAGGTAGGGAAAAGAAGGAGGGATGGGAGGGGCCAAGACCATGAGCTCCAATGGTCATATCATATATTGCTCCATCCAGAAGCTGCCAACCTGTTAGAATAATGAAATGACCTACAGAAGTACTAACTCCTAGGTAATACTCTGCAAGGATGGGGTACCATCCTCCAGGATGCAGTGCACACACTGAATCAGAGACCTATTGATTCCACGTCCCCAACAGGAAGAATTCATGGATCCAGGAACCAAGCAGGAGTGGCCCCACTTAACATCATTTGCAATGACCCATCAGGGGACTTTGTGCTTTCTGTCCAAACAACTCTGGGCTCTGCGGGATTACAGGTCCTGATTCCAAAAGGGGACATACCCTTGCAAAGGGACATAGCAAGTTTTCCATTAATCTGTAAGACACGGCTGCCATCTGGGAACTTTGGTCTCTTTATATTTAGGATAAGCAGGCAAGAACAGGAGTTACTGCCTTAACAGGAGTTACTGAGCTCGATCCATAGGAGGCAGGGCTGCTGTGACACAACTGCGACAGGCAGGAATATGTGTGGAACTCAGGTGACCCACTGGGGTACTTCTGGTTATTCCCTTGTCCAATCATAACTGTAAATGGACAAGCGCAGCCATCCTGATCTGAGAAGACGAAGAGTATGGTTCCTAGGGGTTCAGAGTCCTTAGAATTAGCACATGGGTGTCAAACCAATCGATAAGCCACTAAGGACAGAGAGGGGGTAGATGAGGGAGAGAGGAATTTAGAATGGACACCGGAGGGGAACAGTGAATACCAGCTGGAACCCGTAACTTCGCCATTAGGAAGAGAGGCTCATTGAAACCCTAGAGAAGCTGCTGCCATGCAGCACAAGGGGTGGACCACGACAGCCATAGAGGCTGACCACTCAGAACTCCCTTCAAGGAAGAACTTGCTGGCAGCCTCAGCTGTGCATGCTTTTGGGATCTGCCATTAACTTTCAGGCTGAAACCATTCTCTTCCAAGGCATCCCCCAGCCAATGACAGCACAGCAGGGACATCAGGGCCTGGCCATTTCTGCATATTCCTCTAAGAGCAATCTTTGCTCTAGAGCTCCGCATTGGGTTGGCTGAAGTTCTGTCATCTCTGCATCGCAGTCTGAGGCTCTCCTTCCCCAGACCTGCTTCCTCCTCCTCTCCCTTCGCTGCCACCAGAGTTTACATCACAGTCTGAAGGTGATCCCACTTCTTTTATTACCTCCCAATAAACCTCTTGCATTCCCAACTTTGTGTCCAGGTCTGCTCACTCTAGGACTAACACAAACGATTTCAAGCATAAGCTCCAAATTTAACGCCACGAGGGCCGACACTGCAAAGTACAAGTGCTCATTCGGAAACAACTTATTTATTACATCAACAACTCTACGTGGTGGACTCCAGGGTGAGAGGCAGCAGGGATTTATTTAATGATCATTATGATTCTTTCAAGAAATGAAGGGCCAGCTAGAAATAAAATTATAATTAAAATCTACCCAACTGTTACCATGTACCAAAACTTCAAATGTAATTTCCCACTTGTTCTTCACAAGGCCTTATGAAGTATGTAGTATTTTTATTATTCCCTTTTGCAGAGAGCAAATGGAGATTAGTTTGATTGTCCAGTGACAATTAGTAAGTTAGAGAGTCAGAATTTGTACCTTAGGAAAGCCTAAGCTATTAACCACTACAACAATCCAGTTATCCAGAGTTGATTTATGTTGTTACAACTGAAGAATCCTAACAGATACGAAAATTGGTTCCAGGGAGCAAGTTGTAGGGTAAAGACCAGGGAATTGTCACCCCTGGAAACAAATTTAACCCCATCTGAAAGTATCAGCCATGCTTCTGAGCCAAATAGGCTCAACATCAATTTGTAAAAAGTTTGCTTTTTATTTTTTTTGGTTGATAAAAATTAAGCAATTCTTGCAATGTTTTCAAAACATAAACTTCCTTTTGAAATGTCTGGTTTTGCATATGACCCCAGGGAAAAATGGGACCTGGTCCTAGTGCCTGGCCTGCTGACAGCAGATGTGAGGGGGGAGTATCAGCTTCCTCCCGGAAGGGAGCTCTCAGGATGGCAAAAAAGTTTCTATGGACAAAGAAGGTAGAGGGCTTCCTTATGCAGTGAAATTTCAATGGTGGGTTTTTAAGAGAGATTGAGTACTTGGAAATCTCTGATTCCTTTTCTCATTCTTATAGCAATCTCAGCCCTGCAGCTACAAAAGTTAGGGATTCTCGTAGCATACTGGTCATAGAAAATTGAGGAATTTCAGTCTGTGACTCCCTGAAAATCAAACTCTGAGGTTAATTTTGTACACTGTAGGTTCAGTTTGAAATCTTATCAAGTATCTTATGTGAAAATCTGGACATTTATCAGTAAAGAATCCACTTACCAGAGACTCTGTATACGATACACCATCTGGAGTAACAATGTCATTCTAAGAGTGGCTGGTATACTGCATATGCATGTAAAGTGCCCTTGGACTGGAAGAGCAGTTGTTGAAAAGCATAAATAAGTAGAATGTGTCTTGTTTACAGCCAATCCTATGAGGTCGAAAGGGCTTAGATATTTCTCATACTAGTGTGTGGATAATGTCAGGGAACCCATCCCAGCTGTGCCTCATTCACAAGGAAAGTATGCAGAATAGTTGAGGAACTTGGCAGGCATCCTCAGATCTGTAGATTCCTTAAGCCAGTGATATCAGAATGCATCAGCCAGTGGGTCTGTGGGACCTGGGAAGCCACACTACACTAATGTTAGTGTGGTTAGTTCCTAACAAGCCTTTCTAGACTGGCTCACTGTCATCTGCTTGGTAAACGATTTTTGAATGAATTATGGCTGTGAGCTTGATTGCCAACACGCAGTCCAAGAGATTACCACCTCACATCCATTATAATAGTAGCAGTGGTGGGATATAATTATGTACTTTAGAAGTGGGGCAAGGAACACAGGAAGAAGTAACTCATTACTCCTGAGATTTCATGGTGGTTTTTCATCAGTTCACCTGAAGGCTACAAAGATCATAGAGATATGGATGACAGTGTTATTCTTGGGCTGTAGCTTTTGCTTACCTTCAGCCAATGTATCATTCATGGGTCACTTTTAGAAAAACAGAAACCAGTTTAGCTATTTTAAGCAGGAAGGCATTTAAGAAATGCAGAGAATTGGGTGAGTATAAAACACTTAAAAACTCTAATTTGAAAAGATACATGCACCCCAATGTTCATAGCAGCATTATTTACAATAGCCAAGACATGGAAGCAACCTAAACGTCCATCGACAGATGAATGAATAAAGAAGATGTGCTATATATACACAATAGAATATTACTCAGCCATAAAAAAAATGAAATAATGCCATTTGCAGCAACATGGATAGACCTAGAGATTATCATACTAAGTGAAGTCAGACAGAGAAAGACAAATACCATATGACATCATTTATATGTGGAATCTAAAAAAATGATATAAATGAACTTATTTAACAGAAATAGACTCACAGACAGCAAAAACAAACTTATGGTTACCAAAGGGGAAGCAGAGGGGAAGAATAAATTAGGAGTCTGGGATTAACAGACACACACTACTATATATAAAACCGATAAACAACAAGGACCTACTGTATAGCACAGGGATCTATATTCAATAACCTATAATGGAAAAGAATCTGGGGGCTTCCCTGGTGGCACAGTGGTTAAGAATCCGCCTGCCAATGCAGGGGACACAGGTTCGAGCCCTGGTCCGGGAAGACCCCACATGCCATGGAGCAACTAAGCCCGTGAGCCACAACTACTGAAGCCCGCAAGCCACATCTACTGAAGCCCAGGCACCTAGAGCCCGTGCTCCACAACAAGAGAAGCCACTGCAATGAGAAGCCCGCACACTGCAACAAAGAGTAGCCCCCGCTCGCTGCAACTACAGAAAGCCCGCGTGCAGCAACGAAGACCCAACACAGCCAAAAATAATAAATAAAATAAATAAATTTATTTTTAAAAAAGAAAAGAATCTGAAAAAGAATATATATACATACACATACATATGCATATGTGTATGTGTGTGTGTGTGTATATGTGTATATATATATATATATATAAAACTGAATCACTTTGCTATACACTAGAAACTAACACAACATTGTAAACCAACTATACTTCAATTTTAAATAAATAAATAAACTATGATAAATCTCATGGAAGAGTATGGGGGTAAAGAGAACTGACCTAAGTAACTTGGGGAATGAGTAGAAACTGCAAGTCTAAAGACAAGTGTACATAAACAATTCTGAAACTACTACATGTATACAGGTATTAAATAAATAAATGAATGAAAGAAAAAAAAAGGAAAAATCTGGAAGATCTGGAGAAGCAAATTTGAGGCAACGCCTCCAGAAATGGCTCCCAGACAACAGAACTGTCTGCCAAGGAACCAGGTAAAATCAAGAAGGTACGATCAGAAACTGCCCTGGAACTGTTAGCTACAGAAACTCACAGCCCAAAGCAATCGGAATCACAATGCCCCACCGCTGCTGCTGTTGCTTTCAAAGTCACACTGCTACACTGGCATCAGCAAAAACTGCATGTTCAGACCCCTCGCCATGACCCCCATGAAGCTAGTGACTGGACATGGTCATGCTACTCCAGAAAGCCCAACCCCTCCGCACCAGGCTTGCCTGCAGGAAACAGAAGCAGCAACAGTGCCCCTCCAGGTACATATCTGTCTTTCAAATATCCCAAAAGCGCATCTGACTGGACAAACTTAAATCACATCTGGAATCTTAACTATAAGGGAATTGGGAGATAGAGTTTTGGCATTCCTTTGGCCCCATCCTAAAAGGAGGGAAAAGAGATGCTGAGCACTAATCCACTATGAACCCCAGCCAGCTCGCTGTGTCCCTTGAGGAAGAAGAGGACAGTGGACAGTGAAAGCCACAGGGAAAGGCATTTCCTGGCTTGAAATCAAAGTGGAACCAGAAAAGAAGAAAGAAAAGCCTAGCCCAATGGAGCATTCAGGCGGGTTTGATGTGGAGAATTTTCGGCCTTTTTGAAATCCCTATCAAATGCTGCCCTCTAATGTTTGTGGAATAAACTACTTTTGAGAAACGCTGAAACAGAACACATCTAGCTGCAGTTTTCCAGGATGAAGAGCTATGGATATCTGTATTTCATGGAAACTGGAAAAAATCCACTGAACTGGACACCAAAACTGCTTCCAAATGATGCGGCCAATTGACATTCAGATCAAGTTTTGCCAAGATATTATTGACTCAGACCTCTTGATATGGGTTATTTTTTTCTCCATAACAGAGTGGGGTAGTTTTAAGTATTCCTTGTGGTTCATGTAATAATCAGGAAAGCAGATGATCAATTAAATTATAAATCATTTACACAAATTATGAACCCGAGAGACTTCCAACAAAGTATTTAATTTATTGCCAGTATTAATTTGATTTTCTTGCTTTGTTATGTATCTTTACAAGGTCCCCCCCGACCATACCACCATCACAGTTGGTGATTAGGAAAAGAATGATATCACTAATGTTCAGAATTTTATATGCCAAGAGGAATAAGTGTATGTCAGCAAAACAAAACAAAGTGCTTAACAGTCCTGGTGCAACCAAGAAGTGAAGGCTGCTACGTTTAAAATTATTAAGTCCACAGCTATCAACTGCAATCCAAAACACCTGCTAGAATCATGGATTAAATAATAAAATCCATGGATTAGAAGCTGTCCCTTGGGCATAGCAAGTATGTTTGTGCCTCGGTGCCCTTACCTTCTCCCTGCTTAGGACATGCTTTTTCCCAATAGTGCATCCATAGAAGTGTGGCTATTTTGTCTTTTTTTTTTTTTTTTTTTTTTTTGTGGTACGCGGGCCTCTCACTGTTGTGGCCTCTCCCGTTGCAGAGCACAAGCTCCGGATGCGCAGGCTCAGCGGCCATGGCTCATGGGCCCAGCCACTCCACGGCACGTGTGATCTTCCCGGACCGGGGCACGAACCCGTGTCCCCTGCATCGGCAGGCGGACTCTCAACCACTGCGCCATCAGGGAAGCCCTATTTTGTCTTCTTTCCAAGCTGCTAAAGTGATAAGGTCCTGGGTCCATGCTCACAGGAAGTAAGTTGTAGTCATATCCTTCTCTTCCGTCTTATTTCTTCATGGCCATTTCATGGTACACCAGTACTATGGTTTGGGATCTTTGGATGGTGAAGTTGGGTGGGAATAGGCCTCCTCTTTATAGACAACTTCATGTGAGTTGTCTATATTGGGATTAGGGGCCAAAAGCAAATTTACCAATCAAGTGTTACTCTGTTTTCCTCTGCTAACCTTCCTTGACTATATGCCTTTCTTGGTTATTCTTTGGTAGGATTAAATATTCATGTGTCTCTGGCCAAAATAATTTCTAGTAGCATTTCAATCTCACTCTGATTTCTAACCGGATACAGGATAGAGAAAACAAGGAGATTAACGAGAAAAGGCCATCATGGCTGGAATTGTAGCACTCTTTTCGGAGAAGTGTCTCCACCCCAAGACCACTATCTCTGAGAACCTCTAAATATTTTAGAACTCTTTCACAAACAGTATGAAACTATCCAAGTTTGAGGCTACAGCAGTACTAAAATACAACAAGCTGGAGATGCTGAGCAGAAACCACTTCGTGTATTGCTTCACGCAGATAAAACTTCAGTTTCCAGGTGCCAGAGCTGTCCCCACTCCCACTTCTCTCTTGGGTCCTCTGGCATGAAGGGAAAGGCATTTGCAAACAAGTCACTGCAGAGATCAGAGTGTTCCCCCTTTGCATAGCCTGGGGGACATGCATCACCACTCTTCCCACTCCACTGTTTGCTTTCCCACTGGGGAAGAAATGGACTCATCTTCAGGATGCAGGGATGAAAGGCTGCAGAAAACAACAAGCTTGAAGCTGTGTAGGGTCAGAGCTGTGTGTAATCAGTCATTAGGGGGCCCTGATCTGCTGATCTGCTTCAAAGCTTTGGAATTTGACTTAAGGGATGTCATCCTGCTGGGTTCACAGAAGAAATTCCCAGGGGCTAGAGGTGAGGTCTAACCACAGAAGTGAGATCATAGGTGGAGACACACTTAGAAGTCTGTAGTGCTGTTGTTACGATAATCACAACAATAATAAGTCAACCACAAGGATCCTCCCAAGATTGTCAAATCCTTCATGCTGGGTAGTTTAGTCATAGGACAATCAAATAGTGTGGCTTTGAGAGCTAAAGAAATGTGGGATAGAGAAACAATTTCAATGTTCACAAACAGCAGACAGATTAAACAAATTATGGTAATCCCTACAATAGAATAATACGCAGCCATTAAAAAATAATGTAGGACACACATATTCCTGGTGGGTATGTAATTGGTACTACCTCTATGGAGGGTAACTTGGCACCACAGATGGAAACTGCAAATGCATATACTCCTAATCCAGCATATTCCACTTGGAGGAATTTATCCTCCAGATATATTCAAAGAGGTGCAAAATGATATGTACATACATGCATGTACAAGATTATTTATGGCAGCATTTTTTGTAATGGCAAATGTTTAGGAACCATCATTAGGGAACATATTTTAAAAGTTATGGGGGACTTCCCTAGTGGTCCAGTGGTAAAGAATCCACCTTCCAATGCAGGGGACGCGGGTTTGATCACTGGTCAGGGAACTAGGTTCCCACGTGCCGTGGGGCAGCTAAGCCCGTGCACCACAACTACTGAGCTCGCGGGCCTCAACAAGAGAGCCTGCATGCCGCAAACTACAGAGCCCATGCACCCTGGAGCCTGTGCGCCACAACTAGAGAAAGAAAACCCGCACGCCACAACTAGAGAGAAACCTGCGCACCGCAACTAGAGAGAAGCCAGAGCGCCGCAACAAAGACCTGACGCAGCTAAAAAATCAAGAAAATAAAAAAAGAAAATAAATATTTTTTAAATAAATAAATAAATAAAAGTTATGGTACAGCCATACAGTGGAATACAGGGCAGTTAAAAAAAAAAAGTTCTCTATGTCCCAATACATTGCTAAATGCAAAACAATAGCAAAAAAAAAAATCAAGCTACAGAATAATATGTGTATTACACGACCATTTGAGGTTAATAAAGCAAGGAAGAGGGGGGAAGAGTATTTGCTGGAAGGAAGTATTTGTTGTCAGCCTCTGATGCCTTCACATCACCCAGCTGGGTACTGAGCTATTCCTGAACTGGGCAGCCTCATCTGAGGAACAAGCGTATCTATGTCCTCTAGTGAAGTAG